TCTTCACTAATTATAAAGCTTAGTTAAGGATTTCTATTTTAAACACATAGAAAGACTATAGATTATAGTCAGTATGTTTCATTTTTAGTCTTTTATATTAATGTAGCTGTAACGTCTTTTCTAAGTGTGGAGTGTTAATGGGAAAGAAAACAGCAATTATTTTCTAGGAAGAGAATAACCTTCAGAATTTAGGGTTCTTTAGGATTTTGGAAAAAAAAAAAAAAAACCCCTTTAGAAAAAAAATGTGGTTTAGGACATGACATTGAGCTGCTGGAGCGTGTCCAAAGAACAACGAAGCTGGTGAAGGGCCTGAGAACAGGTCTTATGAGGAGCGGCTGAGGGAACTGGGGTTGTTTAGTCTGGAGAAGAAGAGGCTGAGGGGAGACCTTCTCACTCTCTACAACTACCTGAAAGGAGGCTGTAGTGAAGTGGGGGTCAGTCTCCCAAGTAACATGTGATAGGACAAGAGGAGATGGCCTCAAGTTGTGCCAGGAGAGGTTTAGATTGGACATTAGGAAAAAAGTTCTACGCCGAAAGTGTTGTCAAGCATTGGAACAGGCTGCCTAGGGAAGTGGTGGAGTCACCATCCCTGGAGGTATTTAAAAGATGTAGATGTGGTGCTCAGTGACATGATTTAGTGGTGGACTTGTCAGTGCTGGGTTGATGGTTGGACTCAGTGAGCTTAAAGGTCTATAATTCTATGACTGAACATTTCTGGATACAAGGAACGGATTATTTACTGAAGTCCTTAATAATCAGAGAAGGCTATAGGTGTGGTCTGTACAGGGCAGGTGCATCTCAGAGCAGGTTTTCAGGACTTCACTATGAAAATGGAAGGAAATACTCTTGCTACTCTTGCATATCTAAATTGACATCTAAGTTATTGAAAGCTGTTTAAAAAAAAAAAGTTGACTCCTACTGACATTTTAAAATTAATAATTAGATCCATATTTACCAACAGTTTCATCAGAGGAGCCTCCTAGTATTCCCCAAACAGCCCCATGTCTGAAAAACTTGTTGAAAGGCTTGCTAAGCTTGTTAGAAAATAATCAGTGAAAGTATTGGTTTAGTCTTGATTCTTGGTTTTGGGGATTTTTCTTGTTTGGGATTGGGGTCTTGGGGTTCTTAAATCATCTGATCTAAGAACAGATATTTTTTTGTTACAGTACTTCTTCAGATAATTCTGAAATGAAGCTTATCATTATCTCCAAATTAGTAGTGGTCAGTAATAGTGTGTAAGTGAGGCCTTTCTCATAGGAAGGGGCCAGATGCTAATGGCCAGTTGGTTTTCCCCCAGAACTCTGAAATGGGTTTCCCAGCTTAGGCCATAAAAAACAACCCAACTTAAAGCATGCTGCCAAAACACTTGTCTTGGGTGTGGTTAAGGGTTTAGGGAAAAATAGAGCCTTTTATTTCCACTTTGGAAATTGTTTTATGTTGCTTGGTGGCATATTTGTTCTGTACATGCTGAATTAAACTACATGAGTCAGTTTTGTATTCCTGCATCATAAATAGATCTGCTTACTGCAGCGTAGGTGTGTGTGAGCATGGGTATGTCCTTACAGGTACCACCACACTGCAAATCCATTGGGATTTGCAGGAGCAGACTGAGACAGTATAGTGAAAACAGTAGGGATCAAGTGCCTTAAGTCTTACTGAAATTCCTATAGCATATACTGCATCATTTAAAATAATTACGAAAAAGGAACTTTATAAAGTACCTATACCTGAAGCTAAATCATTTTGTTAACTGACTTAAAACTTTTTATTCTTTGCTCCCTGTGCAGAGGTGCAAGATTGTATGTCTGTTGTTGCTGATGTCTATTCTTGACTGATCCTGGGTGGTGGTTGTCAGTATGTATTCTAAATTGCCAACTCTTTAAAGTCAAGTCTTTCAGCTTGCTTTTTAGATACCAGGGCGGGGGGGAAAGGTTTAAATTTTTCTGGGAAATAAAGTGATACAGGTTATAGAAGATAACTATATATATACATAGATAAAATATATTATAGTTATATAATATAACTGTTTCTAGCTAGGGAGTTACAAATAGAACATGCTGAAAACTGTTCTTCAGCGTTAGCTTACACATTGTATGTGTGTAAGTGTGAAGGGCTGAGAAAAGTCAAGTCTCTGGTGTTAAAATGAAACAGTTGTACATGTTACTGCAAGAAATTAATCTTCTGATTTGTTCATGGTAATTCCTGTCAAATTATTTTCTACAGTAGGGGATTTTTCTAAGCAATTAGCAAGTGTCAGTCAGAACAGTAGATGAAATGGCACTTTCCATATAGTAGCTCAGTGTCCAGAAAAAACGTCTTTTCAAGGATGAATTTTAGCCAGGATCACTTAGTGCATTTGCATATTACCAAAGAAGCTTCTGCTTCCTGTCTGTCCTTACCTGATCTTGAAAGCAGAGAACAAAATCAGCTGTCTACAAAGAAGTAACAGTAATGCAAGGTTATCCTGTACCATTGGGATTGGAAGTGGAATGCTTTTTTTCCTTTGATGATGTGTTTTGCTTCTTTTGTAGTCTCTCAGAAACAGCAGTAATCTTTACCTTGAACATAGCACAGCTGATACTTCAAAGAATACAGTACCAGAATTTGTAGCTTTAGAAACATGTAATTTAATTGCCTTAAGTATAATTTTTGTGCCTTTTCCAGAAGCTGATAATATAGGTATGGCTAATTTTGAGTTTGCACAAGCGATGCGTGAGAGACGCTTTTGTGGAACAACTGATAATCTGAGCCTTTTTTACATACCTTGCTCTGTCAATATTAAGGGGGCCTACAGTGAAAGGAAGAACAAACAGCAGATCAGCTCCACTGAGACACATGGACAGTCTGGCCCAAAGTGCTTCAGGACAATTAGTTGGTCACTGTAAGAAATAAGAATTAGACAGATTAAAGTTAATAGGTATTCAATACCAAATTGATGTAAATTAGTCAGGAATAGATTTATACAACAAATCAGAAGAGGTTTCTAAACATCAGGAAGAAATAACCTTTCAGATAAAACAGGCAAGCAGGGACAAAGAACCTTGGATGCCTTTGGTAAATTTGCAGGAAGAGTGGATTGAAGAAAACAGCAGTGATTCTGGAAATCTATGCCATTCTGAATTTATGCCAGTCTGATCCTTTGAATCTGAAGGAAGTTGAAAGGAGAAGAGATATCTGTCCTTTTGGGGTTGCTTGCATCTTGCATGTTAATTTTATGCCAGCCTTTCAACTGGTTTGTTGTGTTCAGGAAGAAATTATATTTAATCTCCTTAGTATGTGTTCGTGTTTTGGAGCTTTTTTCTACTATGAGATTAGCTACATCTCAAAAAGGGTACGCATGTATTTTGAGTGATACTAGCATACCTCTGCTTTCTGGCTGCTGTCAAACCTGCACTTAGAGCAAAGCAGATTCACAATCAGAAATTTTTTCATCCAAATAAGTTATTAGGCAATACTGGGGTGTTATTTTGCTGTTCTCATTCTCCAAGAGCTTGATAAATTATGTGCTGGCTGGGAAAGTGTGAATTTTATGTAACAAATATGCTGCTTATAGGTGTTGAAGAGACCTTGGATCTCAGCTTTCTTCCAGTGACGTGCCGTAGTTATGTCTGTTGGCCTTTTGCTTTAGGTTTGAAATGTAGGGGAATCTAAGAAGCAATTTCTTCCATTATGGAAGTGGGAAACATTTGGAGTGTGTGTTATAGGTACTGTTCTGTGTTACTGTCTTGTGGGGCTGCTTGCACTTCATTTGGTGGCTTTTTCCAGTCCCATGTACCTAAACTGGGTTTAGCTACTATGTTTCTGGTTATTTTTTCCCTTTAGTAAGTCAGCTTTTGGGGCATTTTGTTCAGAGATCTGTTTACACCTTCAGCAGTGGGGTAGATGCAGGCTTTTGGCTTCTTTTTGCTGCCAGAGAAGGCTTCAGTGTATTGCCTGGCTTTAGGAGAGACCTTTTCAAGCTAGATAGAGCAGTGTGTTACTAAATAGAGCATGTTTCTGTCTTAGCTTAGTGAATCTAGAAAAGTAACTGTGTATGTTGCATGTACAGAGGGAGATGTATCTCAGTGTCCAAGTCATCTTAACTGTTACAGTTTTGGTCAGATTTGTATGTGATGTGGGAGCCCTTAGTTAAATGATTTTCATCTTAAGCTTATAAACCATGTGAATCTTAAAGTGGTTATCTTCTGTGCTGGTGTGAGGTAGGAATCTGGTTGCTATCTAGGCTCTTCATATGACTCAAATTTAGACTGAAAGTGTTCAGTGACCTCTGCTGTGATTCAGGTGCCACTGATGTAATCTAAAATACATCCAAAGGGGCTCCTAGGTATCTTGATACTGTATAAAGAATCCAAATTTATTGAGACCCAAGGTGTGCATTTGGCAAGATGTGTTTTAGGCTTAAAGTGAACCTGTTTAACCACAATTCAGTTGCCTTCCTGCATGTAAAACTTTTCTGGGCTTTCTTTATGTTCGTATTTGATCATTTTTCAGTGTTCAAAACAAAACTCGGGTTACTCTCAACCCCCTTGCTTGTGCTTGATAGAATTACTTTGCAACTGTGACCCAGAAGAAATCGCTGCCAAAGATAACAACCATCACGACAGTGGTAATCGTGTCCCTGTTAGTGTGTTAGTGCAGATGCATGAGTTTCCCTTTCCCATTGTCGTCAAACTGCAGACTCATTTCCTTTAATTGAAATTTGGGATCCTCCTGGTATCCTGAAAGACCTCATCCCAGATGTCGATACTGTGACACTTTGTTTTTAGAAAAAATGGCGTGGTATCTTTCTACCGTAACAGCAAGCAAAACCTGTGTAGGAGTACGCAATTTAAAAAGTTTCTTGTGAATAAAGTGTTCATCTTACTCTTTTGTTCATTCTTCATCTTTCTATTAAGGATTTAATCTTCTTTACATAGCAGGATTCAGATTTTTTTTTTTTTAACTCGACTTAAAAGTTTTTTTCTGTCTGAATTTTCCTCTAAAAATAATTCTGTTTCCAGGTTGCTGTATTTACTTCAGCAAGAAACCTCCAGCACAGAACTGAGAACAGAATGTGCAGTGGTCCTCGGAAGCCTTGCAATGGGTACAGAGAATAATGTCAAATCCCTCCTAGACTGCCATATTATCCCAGCCTTATTGCAAGGTACTTTTCCTTTAATGAATCTGTGTTAGTAGATGTTCCTAAAGTACTCAAATAAGTGAAGGTAATGAAACTGAATAGTAGTTTTTGTCTATACTTACAGGATTACTGTCGCCAGACTTGAAGTTTATTGAAGCTTGCCTGCGATGTCTCCGTACCATTTTCATCAGTCCTGTAACTCCAGAGGATCTACTATACACAGTAAGTTGTAAGCAGATCATTATGTCCTTTTAAAATCTATAGAGTTGGTGGGAGTGAAAAGTCTTACTGTCTGCAGCAGTAATGAGGACTTCTTTGAGTGACAATGTTAGCATTTCTCACCCACGTTTAAAGCATCTGGCTTACCTAACATTTGTAGCAATATTTGATACGAAGTGGTTAACACTGATAAAGAAAAAGCTTAAAATTTTTGGCTTGTGCTATCTTAGGAAGTAAAAACTGTCTCTAAATGTTATTTACAGATAACCAGTATCACAGTTATATTGGCAAAAGTTAGTTTCTGAAACTTAGAATTTTGTCTAACACTCCTCCCGCTCCAGATGTGAGGGTGCTTGCTTAGTTTTGCACTTCATGTGGAAGAGATTCACCTCCAAAATCTCTCTGCTTTTAGTTAACATATGTGTTATTTACATTTAACTGACAGTAGGATATAAAATGTCCTCCACTATTGCTGTAGTCTTCAGTTCAGCTTGGAGCATGTGAGCAATAAGCCTGTTGGTGCTGACCTTGTTAAGGTGACTGGGCAAAGCCATTGATGTGGAGCCCTGTCTGAAGGTAGTGCTGTCTCTTGACGGTTTAGACACAAAAGGCCTTGCCCAGACTTGAGTCACTGTCTCTTTCTTGGATGGAGGGGAAAGAAGGGTTTGCTCTCTTCCCTCCTTGTTTGTGCCAGCGTAACGGATGAGGCAAGCTGTGGCATGAAAACTACTGTACTGGCAATCTCCTTCTGCTGGGAAAAGGGGAACATTGCACCAGTATGATGGCTGGAGATCACCGAGCAGGTCCAACTTCTGAGGGTAATGGGAGCCCACAGTACTAACCACTCTGGTCTAGCCACTCAAAGGGATGACTGTCACTTGCTGAGGAAATGCTTATAGAGAAGGGCACTGCTGGCCTCTGATTTCAGACTTTCTCTACAGTCTGGATGTCTCTGTCATTACTCTAGATACAATTTCTATGTGTTAACAGTCCTCAACAGATTTTCTTCATGATTTTTGTCTAGTCATTATGCAGTGCTGTAATGATACCTGTTTTGTTCTCTATTCCTTTTCTAATGATTTCTTATATTTTCATTCAGAAGTAGGTATGTAAACTTGTTTTCTATGGACTCAATTTTACCATACACCTATTCTGAATTTCATTTGCTAGTTAGTCTATCTCATAAAGTCTTTCTGCAGCTCTTCACAGCTTACCTTATGTTTTGTACGTGTAGATAATCAGCCAGCTTTGTCCGCCACTGTTCACTGCTTTTTCCCAGTTATTTTTTGATTGTTCATCAAGGAAACTCTCAATGCAGATTGTATATGTTACCACTGAAGGCACTTCTCCTGAGTGATCTGAGAGTTTCCTCTTTGTGTCTCTGTTCCTTCCTTTGACTCCACTTCATGCTCCCAGATTCCCCCAAGTCATCCTCTAAGAGCTTATAATTGCAGGAGCATCTGCTTCCTGATGTCAGCATCAAAAGTCAGGGCTTAAGATGATTGACTCAATTAACAATCCATAACTCTTCCTGGGGATCAGTGCTTAATAGAGACTACTAATTGCTCCCTATTTATAGGAGAGATTTAGTATCTTGAAGGGAGAGGAAGTGGAAGAGTGTACAGAAATGTGAAAGAACCAGGATTATCATACAAATTACCACTAACATTGGGGGAACAATATGCCTAAGATACTACATTTTCTTTCATCCTTTGCTTTCTCTGCCGCACAACAATGACATCAGAACTCTGCTACCCCATTCCTTATTCAGGCAAATGTGACGTCCCTTAATTAACTATAGCTACAGGAAACAGTCATCTGGTGAGGATGCTCTTGTACTTTAGTTTCAACTGTAATGCCCATTTTCCAGTCTCCCATTCCAGTTGGACACCTGAAAGTGAAATATTTTATGACTGTGTTTCAGGTGCTATTTCTGCAACTCAGTTGTTTGTTTGTTTGGTTTGTTGTTGTTTTTTTTTTTTTTTTTTTTTTACTTCACTTGTGGGAATGCACAAACCCATGCTTTGAAAAGTAACGAATGCAGCTCCTTTGAAAAGAGATGTTTCTCCTGTCTCTTGGAAGGTATAGCCACAGCCTCCACTGCTGCAAACTGTGTTTCACAAGGCAGCAGTTGGGAAGTTGTCTTTGCAATTAAAGAAGTAATTATGGGCCTAATCAACACTTTATGGCAGACACTCTGTTTTTCTGACATTGATAATAACGAGAAGAACTTAAAAGTTCTCGCTCAGCCACCCTGCTCCCTCTTTGTTTCTGATCACAACAGCTCCAGGGAGACTGTCACCGTTTCCAGGTAGCTTCAGATCTCAAATGAATGAAAGGGCTTATTCCACAGTCTCTCGAGTTCTGACTTTATCAGGTCCTGTTATGAAAGGTAAGAGACTGTTTGTCAATGGCTTTTCATTCTTGTCCAGCAGTACTGGAGAAGAGTTCTGAAAAGTTGGTTACTGAGTTGTATCTAAAGTAGCGACTTTTCCCGGAATTTCTTTGCAATTTGACGGCATGGAGGATGCTATCTCTCAAACCTTGGCCAGGACTGTTTCCAAGACAAGATACTATGACTTAGCTCAGTGTCTCCAAGGATGTTACAGTCACTCTAGAGGTTTCAGAGGACCTCTCACTTAAGACCCAGGATACACAAGTGCTTTAAAGAGAGATCCTTAAAGGGCTTTGAAAATATTCCTTTCTGTTTGCAGTAGGTTTGGGAGAGAAGAAACGTAAAATCTCAGTTTTAAAAAACCCCTTATCATCCACAGTAACCTGAGTATTTCTCCCAGCAGAAACATGAGGTGTCAGAAACTACATCTTTCCTTTTGAACCTTTCCTTATAGACAGGAGCTTGAAGATTAAACTGCTGGCAGTTTTGAGCAATTATGTTCAGTTACGAAGACAAAACAGAGGTTTCAGAGGTGGAAACATTTGGGCTGTTTCCTGTAGGAACCTGGGACCTGTACTGAGAAAATGTGAAGACCCATCCATATGGGGATTAAGCTAAATGAACACTGAGCTCTCAAAAAGGCTGTGCTTTTAGTGTCTGATCTTACAGCAAGTTTGTTGCAGAGCAGTAAGCTATATCCAGACCTGCTGTGCCGGGTGAGCGCACTTGGAGACTTCCTTCACTGGAAGGGCACTGGAAGAGGCTTTGGTGCTCAAACTGGTTTAGTGACCATCCTGCAAATGGAAATGAGAAATGACATGGAGTCCCAGGGTAGGATGTCGAGATGCAGATATATGTGCAGCTTTTTTTTTTTTTTAATTGTAAGATTCTTTGAGGGTATTTTGTACATCTGAACTAGCCAGCTCAATGTAGCTCAATGTGTGTTTTGGCTTGCTGAATAGATTCAAGCACTAAGTCAAATCTTGTTTGACTGACAGCCTGTTGCTTCAGCTCTTGCTATTCTATTTAGAACAAAGAGAATGGATTCAGTGGCAGAAGGCCTTTCCAGCCCGTGAAGGTATTCTGCATGTTCCCTTACAAATGTTCTTCCTTGTTCATTGTCCTTCCTCAGTGGGACCCAGATACAATTTTATTGAGAAATTGCTATCTGTGGCTACTATTCTGGCCTGGAAAGAAGAGGCAGGTACCAGGTATGTTCTCTGCTGTGGATGAGTGTGTCCTTACAGAAAGCTTGCAGGATGAAGGCACTGCAGCAGGATGAGTTTCTCCCTGCTGTTGAGAGAATGAGGGATGAGGTTTCAGAAATACCACTTTTTCTAGCTTAGGTGAGCTAGTAATGTTAAGTGAAAGGCATCCCTCCTTACTGTTCAGGTTGAAGATGGAAAAACCTAGTGCCACCTGGTGATGGACCAGGCTTGGTGAAGCGGGGGAGGAACAACTGAGAAGTTGAGGCTAGCACAATATGTTACACTGATTAACATATTTAATGAGCAATGAAACCACACTGCAAAGTGTACACGTGTTCCACCATGGCTCAGTGAGACGCAGTTACTAAAGGAGGAATCTAGGTCATCTTCTAATGCCTTACTCCTTTCATTCCTTCTGACTGTTTGTGATGGCTGAGCCTATGCAGCAAGGCTAAATGTTCTCTAATCTGAACTGTTTCCTAAAAATGAGAATTGTAAAATGAAGAATTCTAGCTTAGAGAGCTTGAATTTAAGTTATTTGGACGAATACAAGAATTTCAGTTCTCTGGCTTGGAAAAAAGAATAATGATCCTCTGTTACAGAGATGTTTTAAGAACAGATCTTGCAAATTTTGTTTTAAAGTTAAAAAGGAATATGAAGAAAGTAGATAGGATCCAGACAGATAAATGCGACTCTGTTAATTCTCTCTGTCTGAATTCTGTTTGGATGGGCAGTAACTTTGTTAGAGTACATGTGATGCATAGATACTTGTTGCAAGTTGCCTGGAGCTAGTCTTTGTTAGCAGACAGCTTTTTAATGGCTTTGTGAATCTTGTTGTTTTAACCGCAGATTGAGTGTAGACTCATTGTTGCTTACTAGAGTTGCTAGAAAGATCCTTAGTTGCATATTAATGTGGACAAAAAATGAAATTTCGTAGCCTCATGTTGACACATAATTACTATTCGCGTGTAGTTGGAAGTCAGTAATATCCACACATCTTTATACACTTTCTAGATTCTTTTCTGATAAACATACCAAAATTATTATAGAATTTGGATGTATTTTAGCAGAATCAAGGGGCAAAATTGATTGTAATTTTCTCACAAGCCTTAAGGAAGCATTCTTGCAACTTTCCAAGAGTTTTTAACCTTTTCATAGCCACAATTTCTGATTTGATGGAACAAAATGAGAAAGTGTATAAAAGATACCTCCAAAGATTCACTTCTCAAATGTATCCTTTTATAGTCCAGGATATCGAGTAACACAGTTCTTTACCCTGAAATTCTACCAGTACATACCCTTACTCTCTTGATTGGAATGATTTGTTAACGCTTATGTCATATATACAACAGCATTGCTGGGGTCACAGTGACATCAGAAATGCCCTGTCAGAACATTTGGTATCAGAGCAGCCCAGTCTTACAAATGCTAAGTTAAAATGCTTTTCGTCATCCAATATGAACACCTTCTTGTCCAGGAATTTACCACTGGGCCATGATGCCGCACTGCTCAGTAAAATGTTACCTTATGCAAGTCACTGTGTGCTGTTCTATTTCCGTTTCTATAACTCTATAGTAGAGCTTCCTAACAGTTAGAGGCTCGATATCTGTCCAATCCATCAAATTGCATCAAAAAATACTCATGTGATCAATACCATTGAAGTTTTAGGTGAAACTGAAGTATTGTATGGCTATGTCACTGGCTAGGATGTGAAATAAAAGTTTGTTAGTTCCTTCCCTGGTGTTAGATACCGGTACAGAGATGTTGTGCGTTCATCTGTGTTGAATAAGAGAGTTTAACTGAATAATTATTTTATTCAAAGATGAAAGCAATGTATTTTTATTGATAGTTTGGGTGATGAAAACAAGGATATGGGAAGATATGTTCTAGCAGAATCTGTGAAAGATAACGTCAGGAATCTTCACTTCTCTAGCTTCAGGCTGATTTCCAGTGGCTCTTGATACAAAGCCTGCCTTCTTGCAATTTTTATAGATTTCAAGTGCTTTCAGAGTTAGTGAAGAATAATCTAAATGTTATTCTTGCATATTTTCGCTGAAATCTGATTTCCATAAGCAATTCCACCAGTTCAAGTTTAAAAATAAAGCACGGTGCAAAACCTTTCTACCAACTTGAGGGAAGGAGGAAAAGTTCTGTAGCCTTTTATAGGACCACCTCAGAGTTGGCAGCATTGTTCAGTGTCCAGATGTGCATTGGTCATGTGATAAAGGTGACAGATCATGTGAGTGAATTGTATTCACTGCCTGACAGAAATGCAGATGTGTACCTGCCAGTATCTCTCCGTAGACTGCTGCACAGAGCAGTCCATAAGAATTACCTTGATTGATGCGAGGGTCAAGTCTGGTCACAAGCTAGTCACCTATGATTTAGCAAATAAATTAGTTGCTACTCTTCTGGCTTTCTTTTTCTCCCTAACAACCTGCATGGATACTAATACATGGATACTATAAATTCTTATCTAGAATTTGCTGGTTAGCTGAAAGAAAACCAAATAGAAGGTAAGGAAAAAATACAGTTATAAAACAATATATAATAGTGTGCGCTTATAAATTAGAACTCCCCCTATTTGGGGGAAAAGACCAAAACAGGACAAATGTGTTTTCTTCCCCCCTGCCCCCTCAGTCTAGGTCTTCTGCTTGCTGACATCGCCAAAGTTTGCAATGTTCTGTGGTTTTCTGGATCATGTAGATAGAGAAACATATGTTACTGATATTAGGGAGCTCTGTGTCTATGCTGCTTTAATAGTGGTGATGTGAATCCTTTTTAGCTCATGGGGATCTCCTCTGGCTGAGGATTACTGAGCTGGTGTAGATTTTTTCACTTAGCTTACTCTGCAGATATTTCTTTAGTTATGAATTCCTATACCTCTTCTCTTTGCCAAGAGCAATACCTCTGTTAACTTGCTTAGATTTGAACTTTTAGACCAATATTTACATCCTTCTAGCTGCAATTTTTGAAGTAAGCCAGATTACATAGTCAGTGATTTCCCTGCAGGAGATTTCAGGTCTTGCATCTTACATTTTGAAGCTCCTTTTTTCTTTTTTTTTTTTTTTTTTTCTTCTTCCAGCTTTACTGCCTCTGAATCGCTTTTCCCCTTCCCCCTGCCCTCCTGACTTCTTGATTTTTTTTGTCTACAGTGCACTTTATCACTGAGAAGCCTCTTAGCATGTATGCACGTATGTTGTGTTGAACACTAGTGTGGCTTGATATCTTCAGCTGCCTAAGGTTTACAGAAAATTATAAGAATCTGTTTTAATGGGTCAAATGAGTTAAACCCTAGAGGAATCCTGGGTACATTGTCAATTTGTTTTGCATTAACTCAAAGGAGGAGACACCTAGAAGGTTTGGGGACTTGCTATCATTTTGTAAGATTGTAAAATGTTTCTTTTGAGAACAAGATTGACCCGTTAGTTGCTTCTGTTTGGTTTCTCATGGAAATTTGCTGCTCTGCTTGGCATATGCCCAGACCCTAATACCCACTTAGTTTACACACCACTGCGGGCTTACCTCTGTCAGAGCCAAGAGACACTTCATTATGGTTATGACCATCAGTGCTATTACAACATGCATGTGGATTTCAAGTCCACTATTGCTCTGCAACCAAACCAGTTCCTTACTGGCCTTTTGGTTCTGAAGTTGCAAAGAAATAGATGTGTTCGTGTATATGCCATGTGTAAAGGCAGAAGGTCAGATGGAGCTACTGTTGACCAGACCCTAAGAATACAGCTTAGAATAGTTTGTCCCTTGCTTTTTCCTATGCACATAAGCATGTGATGAGCATTGATGTATGGCTGGTGTACCTGGGGAAGAACTCCAGGTTTTAGTGAGTAACTCTCTCTCTATAGGATGCTAAAAGGGCAAATGAGGCTGTTGCACGTTGATCCTTTCCAGTTATTGAGGAACAAGCAGTAGAAATAAGTTGGTTTTGTTCTCAAATGTGTTTCTTGGCTCTGTTGTCCTGTTGTTTTCTGTTGAGAATAAGAAGTCTGGATTGTTGGCAGCAAAGCTTTCCAAAATGTCTGCTAAATTTTATATATACATGAAATAGTAAAACAAAAAAAAAATATTTCAAAGCTTTGCCTAGTCTCAAATATGTAAACAAATAGGAGAGACTTAGATGTGTTTATTTTCCTAATATAAAGAAGTGTGGTTGGAAATTTCCCAAGTAACTGGGAAATAAAACTTTTCATAAACAGCTGTGTATCTCTGAAGCTGTGGTCATTAAAACAGTCAGACTAGTGCTACTTTCATTACTGTAAAAGTAGCTGAGGAGCATGAAGATTTTGCTCTAATTTTAATCCACCTCTCCCTAGTTAGAGGGCTGCAATTCATCGTTCTCCTGCAGGTAAGACAGAGCCTGACTTACTTGTATAGGGTCAATATAGCATAAGTTCTTTGGAAAGGAAGACTCATTCAGTCTTTCACCTGCTGTGTTAAGCACACTTGATCTTATGGAAGTAATTTAGTTTACCACCTTTCCAAACTAAATGACCAGCATTGCTTTTAATATCACTGCAGTTGCTGCTGCTAAAACGTACTGGTAAAAGTAACTGAAAGCTTTAAAATGTTGTGATCTTGTGACTTACCACAGAGGTTAAGTAACCGGATGTGTTTGCAGAGGTGAACTTCAGTATGATGATTCTCTTTTGCTGATTATCTGGAATTCTGTCATTTGTGTCACATTTACTAATAGTGTCTATAGTGTATGTTTGACTTAAAGACAAAAGAAATTATAACCCCACGTTAATTGGTTAGAAGATGAGTGCCACAGAATTCAAGGTGGACTGTACATTGTTCAGTCTGGCACATTGTTCCTCTCCCTGCTCTTTTCTACTTGGGGCTGAAATCAAGAGGTAAGTAAATCACACTTGTACTACAAAAATACTGAGACAACTCCTGGAGTAATTTCTTTCAGTGACCATGTTTGCAGTCAGTATGTTTTGGTTTTTTTCCTCCATTCTTTTATTATTTTCTCCTGAGGTAAAGGTTCTGGAGACAAATCCCAGAAGTTTTGTGCCTAACTTGCATTGACCTTTTTTTTTTTTTTTTTTTCTGTGAGGATCTGTCTCAGAGCTGTCACTTGTGCCCTGAAGTCTGTCCTGTACTACTTTAATGGTCTTGTCCTGTGTCTGTACAAGTTTCACTGGAAGGGAGAACACTGAATGCAGAATCAGGAATACTCTTTTAAGTGACAAACTGAAGAAACTATGCTGAAATGCAGTGTTAATACTTTTTTTCTTTTCTGACTTGTTTCCAGGATGCTACAGTTATCTCCCACCTCATGGCACTGCTCAGTAGGTCTCGATATACACAAGAATACATATGTCAGATCTTCTCACATTGCTGCAAAGTAAGAAAGAGAATACGTGTTCTTTATGCAACTACTTGTGTTTCTGGCATTTAAGAAACTACGTAAGATGATACTGCTTTTTGTGGCAGGAACATTAGGACAGTAATGACTGAACTATTACTGCTCTGGATTTGCTGACAGATTTATTGGGGTTGATGTATGTTTCTCTACAGTACAACAAAATGTGCAAATAAGTGCTTTTTTAAGGGGTGTGTATATATTTATACCTTTGGCTACTAAAGAAAGTCAAGGATCTAGGCAAGTGTCAATCCTCACTATTATCAGTATAAATTTTGAAAGGATTTTTTTTTCCCCTCGAAGTCTCAAGACAGTGTGAGCATCTCTTCACAGAGGTTTGGCATCTGCTTTCAAGACCACTGCCTTAAACCCAGAGAATGTTTTCGAAGAGGTGCTGTAGGTTGAGAGGACTAGAAATGCTCTTCTCAGTTGAGTTTCT